ATGCAGTGCTAGGGGCTGAGATATAACGGTGGGCATGACTGCTCATGCTTTTACTTCCTGGTGAAGTGTACAGTCCACCGGAGGGGATAATATGAAATCACTCACTACACAATTACCTTTCTGCAATTCTGTTGCTGATAGCCTGTAGATACATGTTTTAGCTGTTTGTATTGCTCTGTACATTATTGGATGTGTTGTTTTCTAGGATGATCAGGTCCAGTGTACAGTATGCCTCTGTTTTATTCCCTCCCTTCCCAGAAATCTTTCAACTGTAGCTCAGACAGGGAGGAGAGTCAGAGAAGGGCCACTTTGGCAGCACTGTTCTGCCTGCACCTCGGCTGGGGTGGGGGCAGCTCTGAGTGTCTCCTTGGTTTCTGAGGCTAAAAAGGTCTTGTATGTTATCTCTTATTGTTTCTGGATTAATGAGACTTTTTTGCATTTTTTAAATAAAACTTTGAGATCACACAGTTGTATGCAGAGATTTCTTGTACATTTTGCCTAGTTCCCCTCCAACTGTAACAATTTGCAAATGTCAGTATCACAACCAGGATATTGATATTGATACAATCTACCAATCTTATTCAGATTTTCAGTTTTACTTGTGTTTGTTGTGTCTGTATTTAGTGCTGAACAATGTAATCACACGTGTAGGTTTATGTGTTCATCATCACAGTCAAGATACTGAACAGTTTCAAGGATTCCCCCATGGTGCCTTTGTGTAACCACACCCACCTTCCTCTCTGCCCCCTCCTAATCCCTGGCAACCTATATTGTATCCTCCATTTCCAAAATTTTGTCATTTCAAAAATATTACATAAATGTAATCACACACTAAATACTTCTATGGTTTTAAGATTAGCTGTTCTCATCTTCATAACACTCTATACAACATCATTTTATGGAGATTCTCAATACCAGACCCTATAAACCATAAAATTGTAAAGGGATTTTTTTCAATTATTATACTTGTGAGAATTAAGACACCTAAGTCATGGAAATAATGTGAATTTAGTAGAAGTTCTGACTTCAAGGTTAAATTATTTGCTAATTCTCTATTGAATCTTATGAAAATTAGAGAATAAAAATAAAAATAAAAATGAGTATTCAATTAATGCATATTGAGAACTAAATTTGAATTCATTACAGTATAAGCCCATCAAGGATAAGCATAATTGAGGGAGGGGACTCCTAAGTTTATTTATTTTTATTAAATGCATTTCATGAGATTTTTTCTACAACATTTTCTGTATTACCGTTTATCCTTTTTTGTAACGTATTTTTGAAGTGGGTTAAAAATTATAAATGGAAGAAACTGATGAAAGCGAAAGGAGGGGGAAGATTAGAAGATCTTTGGGGGTAAAATAGTCAATATTATTCCATATTAATCCCATGAAGTTTTGGAAATGCATCTGGCACTCTAGGCTGGAGAGGTTGTATGGTGTGAAGAGGAGGCTGTGCATCTCATCGGTGATTTTCTAGGCCAAAGCAACTTTCAAGTCCTGTGTGAAACCCTGAATTCTGCAGGTCCTCCTGGAGATGCTTCAGGTACAGCTCCGTCACTTGGAGAACATGTGGTGTTCTACTGAGAGAGCTGTGCTCCGTGACAGGACCAACCAATAGAATGCAGAGTGCTTCACTACACTGATCATTCCTTCAGAGAATTTGACTCAACTGTGCAAAAAGACAAAAACATGAGTTCTTTGATGAATGGCACCTAAGATTCAGACAGATGCAGTACAGCAGTTCTCATGGTGTGGTCTCTGCACCAAATCTCTTGAATCAGAAACTCAAACTGGGCCCAGCCACCTGTGTTTTGAGAAGCTCCAGGTGATTACCATGCATGCTAACGTCCGAGAAGTGCTGCATTCGTTACCTAACTTCTGACAATGACAGTTAACTCTAGAGTTCTTTCATCCAAGCAATAGGGCTTGAGTCAAATGCTGAAAACAGGCAGGAACTGCAAGGCTGGTGAAGCCAACCAGAGGGTTAAAAACCTCTAAGGCCCATTAAAATAAGGAGATGAAGGTGTGTGTTTGTGTGTCTTTTGCAGGTCAGGAAAATGGGGCAGTGGAGGAAGAATAACTTATATTAACCAAAGAGGCTAGTTCATGGACTGCACCAATGAAACATTGGAATTTGTAATCAAATTTGTAATCAGAGCAAGCCTGTGGCCTTATTGTTTAGAGCTATGTCTTGTCCAATTAGTTGTGTGGCTACTTTATTTCAAGCTTAACTTGGACGGACAGGCCTGCCAGGCACAAATTTCTCAGATGATGTTAGAGAGGACAAAAATTATCCACTGCAAGATGAAAGCCAAATCTGCAGAATCCATAATACAATTGGCTAGCCCTAGGGGCCCAGCCTCTTTGAAGAGAAAGCGACAGCACGAATAAGCCATCAAATCAACTCACCAAGCTGGAAAAGATGCAAAGCTTTTATTCTCCCCACAAAGAAATGAAAGTTTAAAAGATTAAAACATTCCTAAAAGAACAGTGCTAATAGGAACAGAAATCCTTGAGACACAATAGCAAAAATTGCCAACATCTCAAAATCTCCTGATTTCCTGTCTTTTTTTCCCCCCCTCAGAAGTGAAAGATGAGTTTCACTAGATTAGGTAGCAGTTGGAATGAGTTTTATTCACCAGCAGTATGGGGAATAAAGGCAGAGCCTGCAGGAATGTGGGCTCCAGCAACAAGTAATCATTATTGCAAAATCAAATTCCCCATCTCATCTCTGCTATGCCCGTATGTAACCCTAGAGCTGGGCTTCACAGTGTTATAAATCCAGCATATAAGGCATGGAGCAGTGGGATACAGAGCCCCTCGTGTATCTAAAAGTTCTGCCCTGGCAAGAGAGATATATGATGGCAACTTTCTCCCCATTGCTTTTGCAATAAAATTCACCTAGAGCTCCAGGAAGAGTTGGGAATGTAATTCAGCTCCCATAAATCAAGAATAAAATTAAGATGGCCAGATATGTAGCAGCCTGCTCAGGTGTATGGAGAATTTGAAATTTAGTGGCCTGGTAATGGGTAGGAGCAGATTATCTAATTAGGAAGAGAAAGAAGAAATACTGCTCTCTGGGGTAAAAAGCTAAATGCTTTAATCCACCAGTTCTCAACCTGTGGGTCACGGCCCCTTTAGGCATCGAACAACGCTTTCACAGGGGTCGCCTAAAACCATCGGAAAACACATATAATTACATATTGTTTTTGTTATTAATCAATATGCTTTATGTTCATTTGTAACAATGAAAATACATCCTGCGTATCAGATATTTACATTATGATTCATAACAGTAGCAAAATTACAGTTATGAAGTAGCAACAAAAATAATTTTATGGTTGGGGGTCACCACAACATGAGGAACTGTCTTAAAGGGTTGTGGCATTAGGAAGGTTGAGAACCACGGCTTTAATCCATTAAACATCTCTGCCAAAGCTAGAGTAACATTAAAGTTCATGTCACATCTAATTTTTTTCAAAGAAATAAAGTGTAAATGTTAGCAAAAATACATAAATGAAAAAGCTATACTTAACAGTAACTCTAATTTGGCTAGTGGTAAGTAGCCAATTACAATTGTAATTGTAAACAATTACAATTTTAACACAATTTATAATTCTAAATTGACTACTTGTCAATAAACAAATTACTTGTGTAATTAACCTTTGGTGTGATGTACATGTACATCTGTACCTGATTATAATAAGAGTCTTATTCTTTCCTAACAACACACCTTGAAACTGTTCTGGAAGGACTTTCAGCAGGGCTCTCAATGATGCGTTAGCCATGGTGTTCTTCCCATTTATTCCGTTACTACTTCCCTGCTTTATCCCAGCAGGAGACCTAACATGCCTCTTTACTAGCTTCAGGTATGACTGGGCGGAGCCAATGGAGGACCTATATTTAACAGGAAGTAAAAGTGAGATATTCACATGACTGTTAAAAATCTCAGTGCAGCCGAAACCGGTTTGGCTCAGTGGATAGAGCGTCAGCCTGCGGACTGAAAGGTCCCAGGTTCGATTCCGGTCAAGGGCATGTACCTGGGTTGCGGGCACATCCCCAGTGGGAGTTGTGCAGGAGGCAGCTGATCGATGTTTCTCTCATCGATGTTTCTAACTCTCTCTCTCTCCCTTCCTCTCTGTAAAAAATCAATAAAATATATATTTTAAAAAAAATCTCAGTGCAATGGGGCTGAATCTGCATGGAGATAGGGCAGTTTAAACTGGGAAATCAGGTCATATAGGGATGATTATGTCATTCTTGAAGTTATGTCACTTTTTTTACCGTACTGTGACAGCAGCTACTTGAGATTTACAACCACAGAATTCCACAAAGTACTTAACATCTTAGATGCTTTGGGTATAACTGTGCCTAAAGACAAATGGCCTTTTGATATTGCCTGCAGTTCTATTATTTCTATTTGTTTTAAAACCAGTATTTAAGAAAAATTTATGGATCTTTTCTTATTTGGGATCTCTTGTCTGTTCTTGAAAGTTGCATGTGCAAGAGGGAGGTAAGGCCAACAAGTGTCTAGTCAGGGCAGTCAAATCAACCCCAGGGCATAACATGGTGACAGATTATGTGCTCTAACTATGAAATTGCACGATTCTCATTCACTCCAGCCATGGCCTAATTGAGATGTTAGTTAGCATGTGGGTTAGTGTCCATCCCCTCCCCCCACCTCCCCCCTGCCAGTTTTCCTAAATTAACATGAGGTAATAAGATTATTGTCAAGTGTCTGGTATAGAGCCCATAACATAGAACACACTCAGTAAATGGCACCTGATTATATTTATTTGCTTTCTTTTTTATTTTTTTAAAAAATATATTTTATTGATTTTTTTACAGAGAGGAAGGGAGAGGGATAGTTAGAAACATCGATAAGAGGGGAACATCGATCAGCTGCCTCCTACACACCCCCCACCAGGGATGTGCCGGCAACCAAGGTATATGCCCTTGGCCGGAATCAAACCTGGGACCTTTCAGTCCGCAGGCTGATGCTCTATCCACTGAGCCAAACCGGTTAGGGCTATTTATTTACTTTCAAAGAATGTTGAGTGGCTGATAATCTTGCAAAGAATGCTTTACATGCCATTTTAGAAATTTGTTCACAGACTACTGGATTGTGAACTCTCTGAAGGCGAGATGTAGTAGTGTTATTTCCAGGGCCTAGCACAGTGTCTGATACATAGTAGGTGCTAAATAAATAATTGAGGTATTACTGAATGAGCAGTGCTGCAGGCTTTGGGGAATTATAGAAAGAAAATGCTTAGAAAAGGGCATCTACTTTGTAGAAGGAATAACATGGACAAAGATGGCCCCACTTTGTTTCAAAGGAGTGTCACTGATATTTTAGAAAAGAAGAAAAATACAATGGTCCATTTTTCAACAGCTTGAAAGATGTGGGGACCAGAGATTTTAAAACTGGTAAGCAAATTGACGAATTAATGCTTTAGCAAAATCTGCAAGATACTCGGCCAAGTTCTTATCTTAGATAGGCTTACACTGAGCAAGTGCCTCAGGGATGATAGGTGGGAAAAAAACTAAAGAATTAGTTTAAAAATTTGACCTTAAAAAATCGATCCTTTATTGATCACTTTCTGTGTGCTTGGTATTGCACTAGGTAATGTTTATACACTATCACTGCAAATTAAAAAACCATAAAATCAGTCATCTTTTATTTTTCTTAAGAGGGATTTCATGTGCACTGACTTATCCAACATCTCATAATACTTGGTGAGGTTGAGGTATTTGACTCCACTCACTTTTAAAAACACTGCCTTTGTGCTATAATTCACATATTATAAACATTTACCCATTTCAAGTGTACAAGTCAGTAGGTTTTAGTACATTGAGTTGTGTAACCATCTCATTTATTCTTGAAGATACACATACACAGACACAGACACAGGCACACACACACAGACACCCACACACATTTTATTCAATGTCTAAGCAGCTTTTTTCTAAAGTTGGTTAAAAATTACCTTCACAAATTAAGCAGAACGTCACTGGTACACCAATAAAGTGGATTACAGGTTAAGTTTGAGCCAGACACTTGTCTGAATCCCAGACCCTTGATACTGGTTGTGTGACCTTAGACAATTTTCATTATCTGCAAAAAGGGGATAAAATCAGTGGATTCACATAAAATGCTGCCTGATACATACTACATGCCAATAAATATTAAAAAATGCACATTAAGATATTCCTGGTAACTGAATATTGCGGGATCCTGAAATAACTTCTGAATCATGAAAATTGTAGTCAGTCAAAGGTATTTATTTTATTGTATTCTATTCTTTGCAAATTAATAATCCATGGAATGTTAACAATGTACTAGTAAAAATTATTTTACAAGTTGATTATTTGGCATCCAGAGGCATTTTCCCAAACACTATTTACTGGGACAGAGCCAGCTAGCTGCCTACTCAGTGTCCCTTTTTTCCTTCTTCCTTATTGGCAAAGCACAGGCTTGACCTGGATGGCCGTGTGGGGGGTAAAGGACTACATTTCTAGACTCTGTCCCTGCAGGGACGCCAGAGATATAGATATTGCTGAACAGGACTTCCAGGACTCAGTTGCGAGGAGTTTTTGTCCTTCTCTTCCTTTCTCTGGGTCTTGATTATGGACTTGTCTAGAGCTCGGATAGCCATCCTGGACCATAAGTTAAACTTGTGAAAGAACATTACTTGTTCAGTATGAAGAAAGATGGGAACTGGCGGTGGAATGCCAACGGTGGACTGTCTTATGCTCATTTTCACGAAAGAAAAACAATCTGCTTTAAAGTTATTTGGTTTTTGTGCTCTACACTGCTGTCCATTATTTCAATTCACACGTTTACTTTTCTTGGTCAGCTCAAAATGGACTTTAAAGAATACTACATTCTTTCAACAAGCACGCATTGAACATCTGCTGTTGTATGCCAGTCACTGGTTTGAGGGCTGGATATGCAAAGAAAAAAGGAATCTCTGCTTTCAGGGAATTAAGTTTGGTGGAAGAGACATATAATAAAAAATAGTACAATGCCATCGGTGCCAGAAACAAGGGCAGGCAGAGATGGGTCGATGGGTCTTAATAGACTTGACTTTCAGGAAAACATGAGCAAGCTGAATACTACTGATGAGGCCATCAAGTGAAAAGCAAAGGGCATTCCAGGCAGAGAGGTACCTGACAGAAATGACCATGATGCACAGGAGCATTTCTATGAGAAATGAACTGTTTGAATTTAGACACTGAGAACAGTATCTAGCCTTTGCAGGAGCCAGGCCTTCATATTTATGCCCTCCCCTCATTCAGTAAGATCGAAGTTGCTAGAGGGAAGTCTTGGCCCATAGTAACACTGGGTAACATCTGTTGAAACAATGCTGTGCACTTCAATAAGAACTGGTTAACAGATGTAAGGATTCAGAGGGTTAAGACTCACAAGGTAGACATGGGAAGAAGGGACATTTGGCAAAGAAATTAAGAGGTGTCCTCCTATCCTTTCCTCACGGCAGACTTAAACTGAAGAAAAAAAAAATGAAATGGTTGGGATGGGAAGGTTGGGTAGCTCATCTCTTGTCTACCCTGTCTGTCCTGCTGACCTGCAGTCCAGGGGGAGAAGAGCAGTGTGAGGATAGGAATAATTCATAGCAGTGAGGCATAATGTGAGTACTGTTTATTTCCTTTTCTGCTCTTTCTACCTGACCTTTGATTCATATACTAGTACTTAGATTCAGCATCAAAACCAAAAATTAACTAGCATTAAAAAGTAAAATGCTAGAAGACTCAATTTTTCTTCTTATTTGGGAATATAAATTCTTTAGTTCTCAATAAATGATTATTTATTTAGTCAGCCAGTAAGAGTTACACATTGTATACATTTGTTAAATAAAGTGTCTCTTTGTTCTTTTTTTTTTAATATATTTTATTGATTTTTTACAGAGAGGAATGGAGAGAGAGAGTCAGAAACATCAATGAGAGAGAAACATCGATCAGCCGCCTCCTGCACATCCCCCACTGGGGATGTGCCCGCAACCCAGGTACATGCCCTCGACCGGAATCGAACCCGGGACCCTTCAGTCCACAGGCCGACGCTCTATCCACTGAGCCAAACCGGTTTTGGCGTGTCTCTTTGTTCTTTACATATTGCTTCAACAGCAGCCTTTCTATGAAAGCTGGCTTTTAATTTTAATCTAGTAGTTATGTAGCCCCAAATTAGTGGGGTAGCAGGAATTTCCCATCTCTTTTTATCTACTGCATATTCCACTAAGCTCAACAACAACAAAAGAACCATTAACTCAAGAGAATGCATCTTATTCCAGCTCCCTCTAGGGTAGTCAGTAGTTAGTTTCACTTCAATGAGTAATGATGACGGAAAAGAAAGAAACAAACAAAAAAGATTTTTTTTCAACACATTTACTGGTTCACATAAATATTTGAAAACAAACACATCTGTTTTCCCTTTCTCTATCCTTGGCACAATTTATTATTGATCTTAATAAACAAACAACGGTAAATATTTATAAGGGGAAAATGCATTTTAAAATATGAAAGACAGGTCAATAAATAGCCAAATAGGTCAATCATTAAAAGGACTAATGTTTTTTTTTAAATTAAGCCACTGATTTGCAACTTTTATTAAAATAAATTTCATCTATAAGAACAAATTAATTTATAACTTGATCTTAACTCAAGTTTTGATAGCAGTTGAGTTTTTACATTAAAAAATTGCAAAATTTCAACTAAAGAAAAAATAAAACATTCAGACATGTTAATACTTTAAAAATTCTATCAACTTCAGCAAATAAAAATGACTGCATATTAATTTACATTAGCCCTCTGGTCCAGCATACACTTTCCATGTAAAATATTTTTAATATCTCTTCTGCACGGCATGGGTAGCTTCTAGTGGGAATTTGTATACAGTCTGTTCTTGATGAAGACAACACTAGACAGATGTTGCCTGATGCCTGGATAATGCTGAATGTGACAAAACCAGCGAGACACATTAAGATATTTCTCCTTTTCTTGAACTGTCAGGTCAACCTAAGTAGAGATTAAAAACACACACACAACACAGGCATTACATAAGCACAACTATTAATATCATCCGAGGAGGAGATAGAAATTGGGAGGAAAAACCAGTTCTCAAACCAACATGTAGGAGTGAAAAATTTTAGCACCTTAGAAGAGCTATCCATTTGTTTAATGCTTTTATGTTCAATTCAAAACCAGATATGCTTTCTAAGGAGATCTCGAGAAAAATGAATGAATGAATGAATGGATCTTTTGCTTAGCGCATTAGTGTATAATAGTGATTTTCAATTGGTGTTACAAGAGGCACAACTGGTGTGCTGCAAGAATTTTTTTATATGTTTTTATTGATTTGAGAGAGAGAAAGGGAGAGAGAGAAAAATATTGATTCTGCCTCCAGCGTGCCCCTAATAGGTCTTGATCCCATGACCTAAACATGCGCCCTTACCAGGAATTGAACTGGTGACCTTTTGGTACATGGGAGGACACGAGTTTTCAATAAATGCCAATTTTACATTAACCCAGGATGTGGAAGCCCAAAGAGTTTGTTTTTTACTTTATTGGAAAGGAAAATAGGAGAAAAAAAAGAGAATAGCTTCCAAGAGACTAAGATATGTGTTTAAGCGCCTCCTGTGCACAGCACACCAGACAAGAATAACATAATTCCTATTCATTCTCTAATAGGCCGGTTCATTCTCTAATATTTTTCAGCACACCTCTAAGAAAAAAAAAGTTTACTGGCATCTAACAACTTAACAAGGGAATACTAAGTAAACTCATTAGATAGATGATAGATAGATAGATAGATAGATAGATAGATAGATAGCTGGCTATAGATAGTTGGTGTATACATATGTGGACTACTGGTTCCTTTTTACTGAACTCTGGGGATAAAATTTCACTAAAGAAGACAATGACCCATTTAATTTTAAGTGCTCACTGCTTACTACAAAGAAGGAAGAGCTATTTCCAGTGGCAAGTGTCTCAGATGGACAATAGACCTTCTAAATTCTGTTTGCAATAAAGCTGAACTCTATCTTCAGTGGATATAGCAGGTCACTGAATTTACTATCAAGCTGTAAGATGCCCAGAGATTTGGCTGGAGACAGATGCAATAATAACAGCTCATGACAATCATTTCACTGGGCTCAAAATCCAAAGTAGGGGCTAACAGACTTTTCTCTAAGACAAATCTTAGATTGGAATCATGAAGAGTTGTCAGGTAAAGAGAAAGCCAATAGGGCAATAACTCACAGCTATGACCCATGTAAAAGTAGTGCAGTTAAATCTGCTGTTGTTAATTCAGCATTCATTTAACAGATACTGTATGTCTCCGTAAAACTGACATGCATGCTTAAACAAAGAAAAACACCTCAGTCACCCTTCTGTGGCTCAAACCCATTAGTAGTCTGCTTGTTGGAAGGTACTTTTAGTGAGATGGACGTCCCATGTCTGCTCAGAATTTAGCAAATACATACTTGTGCTTACAGGAAAATATTCTGTTAAGTTACTGGGTCAAAATAACTGAAGGATAAATCACTCTAGTACAGCCGTGGGCAAACTACGGCCTGCGGGCCGAATCCGGCCCGTTTGAAATGAATAAAACTATTGAAAAAAAAGACCGTACCCTTTTATGTAATGATGCTTACTTTGAATTTATATTAGTTCACACAAACACTCCATCCATGCTTTTGTTCCGGCCCTCCGGTCCAGTTTAAGAACCCATTGTGGCCCTCGAGTCAAAAAGTTTGCCCACCCCTGCTCTAGTATGCAATTATTAATACTGAATACAAAATAATATTATCAATAAAAGGACACACAGTATTTTCTCAATAAGTGTTACAGCGAAATCCTATTTCCATTTTATGTTTTCTACAAGGCAATAAGAAAAATTGATGCAAGTTATCCTGCCTTCCTTTTTGCCATTATGACATCAGGATACTATTGTTAACATTATCTTTGGTGGGCTCATCTATCTTTTGGCCCAGTTTACTTAAATTATTAGCAGTGACAGTCTCACTACTTCTGTTACATAAGAATTTAAGTTTGGGTTTAAGTCCCACATACAAGCTGCTATAGCAAATTATAAAAATACTA